AGTAGTAGTAGTAGTAGTAGTAGTAGTAGTAGTAGTAGTAGTTAGTAGTAGTAGTAGTAGTAGTAGTAGTTAGTAGTAGTGTGATAGTACTAAATATAATATAGTAGTCGTAGCTGCAGTTAGTAGTAGTAGTAGTAGTAGTAGTCGTAGTAGTAGTCGTAGTAGTAGTCGTAGTAGTAGTAGTAGTAGTAGTAGTAGTAGTAGCAGCCGTAGTAGTAGTAGTAGTAGTAGTAGTAGTAGTAGTAGTAGTAGTAGTAGTAGCAATGGGAGTAATAATACTAGTAATCGTAATAGTAATAGGTAGTAGTAGGTGGTAGTAGCCGTAGTAGTAGTAGTAGTAGTAGTAGTAGTAGTAGTAGTAGTAGTAGTAGTAGTAGTAACAGTAGTAGTATTAGTAGTAGTAGTAGTAGTAGTAGTAGTAGTAGTAGTAGTCGTATTAGTAGTAGTAGTAGTAGTAGTTGTAGTAGTAGTAGCAGCAGTAGTAGTAGTAGTCTTAGTGGTAATGTTCATAATACAAGCGATACGAATCATAATGCTAGTCGTAATAGCAATACTATTCCCACCAGCCCTCTGGGCGCGAGTGGTTTAAACACTCGGCGGGGGGGGGGGGGGCCGTATCAGAATGAAGGAATTGAAATTACATTCTTCGTCCCTGGGTGCGTGGTTTCGTGGGGGCGCATTGTGGATGAGCTGTTGTTGCGCTGTCGCGCTGTTTTTGAATGATCACTCCTGAAGAATAATGACTGTTGATCCCTATCTCTCGTAACCGTTGCATTTTTCAATTAAGATACATTTTTTTTCACGGGGCTTGCAACCTCTTCTTTACGATGGAAAATCAAATGTCGCGAAACTATGTTGATGGCTCCTGGTTTACAGCCGCAGCGGCTTCCGCCTGATTCTTCCTGGCAGTTTATCTTCACATCGCGCTCTCGCGCAGGCCTTTCTCGCAATCTCAACGACATATCCAGGACGCACACTTCAGCAACCCGCTGCTCGATCTGGCCGCCTGAACCCGCCTTCCCGACCCGCCGGTTAGGGTCTACCCGCCCGATCTGCCCGTCTGGCTCTGCCTCGTGTTTCTGCTTTTCGTCCCCCTCTTGCTACTCTGTCACTCGTGCTCCATCCTCCTCCCTCCCCCTTGTCCGTTCCTCCATCCGTCCTCTCCTCTCCTGCCTTCGGGGCTGCACGAAATATATGCTGCAAGTAAGAAGAGAGATACCCCTAATGGGGGTACGACCGAAGACAACAAAAAGGTGGGTATCGAGGGTTTGGGATATACGTGTGAATGGCTCGCGAGCAGCTAAGAGCGAACAATCTTAAAATGATTGTTCTTGGTGTTGAATTTTCATTCTTAAAGAATAATTATTGTTGATCCCCCCTGCCCGGCAACCATTCGTTTATTCTCTTGCACAGGGTGTCTAGAGCTTCGACCAATTTATTCCGCGTCGCACACCCACCTCCCCCCACCCCTCCCCCCGCGTCCCCATCGCCACAGTGGGATCCCCGCCCCTCCCCCCGCGTCCCCAGCGCCACAGTGGGACCCCCGTTCCGCGGCCCTCTGCCCCGAGCCCCCCCGCGTCCCCAACGCCCCAGTGGGAGCCCCGCCCATTGCCCCCTCAGCCACGAACGCTTTATTCCGCGTCGCACACCCACCTCCCCCCGCGTCCCCAACGCCACAATGGGACCCCCACCCCCCCCGCGTCCCCAGCCCCCTCCGCCACGAACGCTTTATTCC